ATTATCTGAAATCAGTTTAATCCCATCCAAATGCATTGACTGACTAATCAGCTTTTTTTTCAGAGACTCTGGTCCAAAGACTATAACTTCTGTTTTGTCTGCATTCAGAAGCAGAAAGTTAAGAGTCATCCAGGTTTTTTTGTCTTCAAGACATATAAAGGTATTTCAAAGGTATAGTTGAGGATTTTCGCAATTTTTTTGAAAACATCCAACCTCTCCACTTAAAAAAAAAAAAATGCACATGCACCATCCTGTACACAACCTCACCTGGACTGTAAACACCACCTCACTGGTCAAAAGGGCACAGACGCGCATGTACTTCTTGCAGAGGATGAGGAGAGCCACCTGCCTCCACCCATCCTCACCACCTTCTACAGAAGCGCCATAGAGAGCGTTCTGACCAGCTGTCTCACTGTGTGGTGTGGAGGCTGCAGCGCCTCAGACTGGAAGAAAGTTAGGAGAGTGATGAGAACAGCACAGGAGATCATCGGGGCTCCTCCTCTCTCCATAAAAGACATTTCATCCCAGCACTGCGTGACATAATCAATGACCCCCTCACACCCCATGGACTATTCTCCCTGCTGCCCCCTTTGGGAAGAGGTTTTTCAGCATTTGATGCAGGTCTAGCAGATTCAGCAACAGTTTCTACCCATCACCATCAGACTGCTGAACTGTTGAGAAAACTCAAAATCAAGTCACAGACTCTGCATCGCTCTGATAACACCAAACCAAATATATTGTTTTTTTGCACCATATAACTGTTTACATTTGATCACTGCTGCATTTTATGAAATAGAGAGTTAATTTACTCTCTGGAAAGCTGTACTTAATGAAATTTAGTTTTCTACACACTGTATATACAAAATGACAATAAAAGTTGTCTAAGTCTACCTGCTCCCAAGAGAGCACGCCAATTAAACCCGTGTGAGAGCACGCAGGAGCCCATTTCTCCTCGTGCGCGCTCTGTTTAAAAGTTCCTCTTTGCATCGCTCATACAAGCTTACTTTCCAAAAGAAGATTAGCATTTTTTCCACTTCCACCATGAAGTGAAAATGGGGATGAGGACGTAGGACGGCCTTATGTAAACATTTCACCAGAATGATTGACAATTTGGAGGACCACTTATTTTGATGATCCATCCAGAAAAATAACATCCTTCACTATACCTTTAACAGCAACTATGCAAATAAACAAACACACCTAGAAAAAGTAGACTATATTATATTATTTTCCATGTAAATCCCAGATTGTACATTCTTCTTTGCATTTTTCTAAAAAATGCCTTAAACCAGTCCTACCAGTCTTGATGCTGGATCAGATCCTGTCATTTGAAAAAGGATAGCCTCACTGCATGCAGTTAGCCAAGCCTATTAGCTAAACCAGGTCCTGGAAAAAAGACAGAGTGAACCGTCTTCATTGGTGTTTGGACTCGACCTGTCAAGCAGCCACACTTTAACTATGACAACAGTTCCTGTCAACTTGGGGCGCACTTGGGACGCAGGAGCTTGCTTATCCTTTTGCATTGCCGAGGAGCTACTGTGCATGTACAACTTTTAACGAGAGTCTATTGCTGAGTTTGAATTCAGGGGCTGCATCCTCTGAAGGGCAGGTTCAT